GAGCTTAAATTGCTCATGTATTTTATCATGATTGCCATGAGTTTCATATCTCTAGTGATAGAGCATTAGACCCAGTTAAGTCCTTAATCATTTTGTATGATATCATATTAGTTCGATTAGCAGTAAGACCGTCAGCTGTAATTTGCTGTATTGGCCACTTGCAATAGATTTTTTTCCCCTTCTTTTTTGCCACTTGCTGAAGGCATTTACACATCCAGTTCCTACTTCTGTGCTCTTCAGGTAAGGAGACTTGTCTGTAGACATTGTTTTTAGGTTGAGTGGTGTGATAGTTCAGTGTGATAGCACTTTCGTCTCTAATGATACAAGAACTCATTTTCTCCCTTAACTGCAACTATATGTGCAACTGGGGCAAGACAAATGTCAGTCTGATGCTACAGGGTGCTACGTGCTGTAGTGCCAAGCAAAAAAATGCAACATACTCTTTGTTTTCTGGAAAGTTCCAAGGATGTTGGAAAGATTTGACAGAAGTGGTTGGGTCACTGCTGGGTAATGCTTGTTTATCTGCCACTGGGGAGGGAACAGACCACTGTCCTTAACCAGGATTTCCAACTATATGAGGTCAGCTAATTAAGCTAGTAATGAATGGGTTTATTTATGAAACTTGCAGAGATCGTGATGCCTCACAAAATATTACCAAAATAGGCAATGCCAGCAGGTACTTTGGTGTAGAGTTCCAGTGTAGGCAGGAGCCAGTGCTGCATGCCTTTAAAGGATGGGATAAAAGCTTCAGCATTGAGAAGTTGCTTCCCAAGGCTCCTCAGCACAGTCAGAGCTTGTCTTAAGGCCTGCAGCAAATGGGTGATCCTGTCCTTTCCAAAACTCCCAGTCCATCATCCTGGGTGTCAGTCTGATGATGGCTCTTGCTATTTAATTCTGATTATTCTTGTTACCCTTATTGACTGTACTGTCTTTAGTCTTCTGCTTTTCTTCATGGCTGTATTGTGTTCTGGAAAGTCCTGGCTGACGTCATGCCTGGAAGCGAGGCCCATTCAGACAGGGCAAGTCCCCTAGCCTGGACACGCTGACGCTGGACCAGCAGCATACTGCTGTGGCAGCCAAAGGCATAGCTTGTGCTGGGGTGTGGGCACCTTAAGTGGGTGTAACTGCTGCTGGAGAAACTAGTCTGCTCCCTTTGCATTTCCATCTCTACTCTGCTGCCACACAGTTTTACAAAACTAAAAAGAGCTTCCTGCATCCGAGTTGGTACTGACAGCTATTTCTTTAAGAATAGGGTAATGCCTAACGGGAATATTTATGGTGATTTGTGACTTGACCAGGGTTTATTTGGGGTTTAAGAAAAAAGGAGGATAAATACGGCTTTATAGATAGATGGTGTGCTTTTGTGCTTTTCAGTGTTTGGCCTGGAGACCAAAGGGAGCATGCAGCACTTCACCTGGTTAGTCCTTGTGCCTCTATACAATTTTCCTCAAAAACATCTGATAGGCAGCCTGGAAAAGCTGCTGTAGTATGGTATTTGGGTGCTAGCAGGGCAGGGGATGCTGCTAAACCATTATCAGTAACACACAGCAGAGCACTAAATTGTTGTGATATTTCTATTACTACCACATACGTGATATAAATAATGTTGTGACCATTTTTTTGCATTAAACATTTTATATCTTGGCATTCTTAGCCACCTAATAAATAATAGTGAGACCAGAAGGATTCGTACATGTCTTAGAGATCAACAGACAGTCCTCTAAGGTACTGAGTCAGTGCTTTGACAAGGAGGGAATCTCACTGGGATAATGTTGAAAGCAGAGAGTAGAATAACAATGAGTGTCAGGAGCACTGAGTCTACAGAGGAGTTGAATGCAGAGGGCAACAGTGACAGAGACTGAACTCCAAAAGGCAGAAATAAAAAGGTTAAGTCACACACATAACTTCATACTGTCAAGAAGGTGCTGCATAAATCTGCCAAATCTGTCAAAGAAATAAAAATAATAAAAAATTGTACTAACAATGGTATTTTAGGCAATATAATTCTCCCCAAAATCACATTAATTCATGATTTTTTTTTTCTTTTTCCTGACACTCAAAATATATGCTGGAAAACCTCTTCTGTTCTTCAGTAAGTGCCTGTCAGACAAGGGGAAAGGACTGATGGTCTGAGGCTTCTGTTTCCAAACCTGAAGTATTTCAAGAGCCACCTCTGAAAACTGTGCTCTTTGATCAGAGGCATCCATTTTATTTGGTTGGCTCTAGTAGTCCAGCAAGTAATTAAGTAGGTAATATTTCCTATTCAGTTGTTAAAAAGTCTAGACTGCACTACAAAAAGATGCATTTTTAAACACATTGTCTCACTTTTTTTTTTTTTTAACTAATATCTATTGGTTTTGATTGTGTAGGTAGAAAGAACAAATAAACCATACGCTGAACCATCTTTTAACCTCAGTACCTACAAACTTGCTTGTTCTGTTTCTTGGTAGTGGCAGCAAAGCTAGAAACTGTAGCATAAAATGGACTCAGATGTTTGTTGTTTTTTTTAACCACTTGAGAGACATAAACTACCTTTTAGATTTCTCCAGTGTTATGAGGTCTTTAGACAGTCTAGAGGTTTGGATTATTGCAAGAAACTGGAAGGGGTCATTTGGATTGACCTGTGTGAGTAATTTGCTCTTTAATCTTGGTTCGTTTTTAGTTTGGTTTCTGAACCTTTCAAAGTAAGCTGCAAGTCATACCCATTAGTGGAGAAGGGCTTTCTCAAAAGCTAGGCCTAATAAAAGGTTTGTTTGGTGCAGGCTTAACTGGATAATGGTTGTTTGCTGTTTAAAGAATATAGGCTAACATGGATTTTCTCTTGGCTCCTGCAAACTCTGAGTCAGATGAGATAGTACGTTGTTAGCTAAGCGACTTTGGTTTCACATGCATGCAATCACATCTGAGTTTTTGAAGAGCCATCTTCAAAACCCCACTCTTTTCCTTAGTTCAGAAGTGGACATCAACATAGTTTCTGCCAAACTTATTTTCTATGTCAATCAGAACTTCACAGGTTAAAATAAAATAAAAGCAAGGTAGAGCAAATTTAGCCATTAATCCTGTCTGTGCCAATGCCTCTTTGTCTGACAGAATTACAGTCACCTGTCCTCCACTGGGTAATGAGGGCAGACCAACATGCATATAGCTGCCACCTGGGTAACGGAGAAACCTGGGCATGCTTCTGTGGTAGAAGGCAGTTACAGGATGGGACGCACAAACCACTGTCCAGATGCCCAAGAAATTCAAACAGCATCTTGGACTTTAACAGAAGCTGGATCAGGCCTCCCATGAATTGTAATGAGTAGTTACATTAATACACTGCTATGTAGCTGTGAAAATCCTGCATCCCCCTCTCTGGGATGATGATGCAAGGCTAAATCACCATGGATATTCGATTGCATTCTGGCTCATGTAGCCATAAGAGCATTACCAGGCAGCATTTTATCTCAGGCGAGTGCTCTCTACAGCACTCACAACAAATCTCAACTTATTGGAACTCCAGTGATTAAATGTTTTACAGACCCCTGCAACATCAGAAGACTCTGTGAAATAGGCATGGCTGCTTTCAATATGATCTCATAGGGATCTGATTACCATTTTGGCTCTCCTCTCACAGTCATTCAAGTGGACCTTCAAGGAAATGTAACCCTTTCACTTTCAGACTTCCTTGGTATGCAAAACACTTGCTCAAGGATAAAAATCTTGAGTGCAGAACCTGAAATGCTGGAGCCAAATGGTCAAACTGGTCATATCCGTGCTGGTCTCTAACCGTGATACAGCCAGAAAAGAGATGAAGTGGTAGCTATGCATCTTGATTTGGAAAATTTCAGACTCTAAACTGAAAATAAAAGGTCTCTCTACAGCAGAAGGTTGGGGCTAAACACATTCCTGTTGAATCTATTATGGTAAATGTTTGACGTGAGTTCTTGTGTTGGCACCAATTATTGATAAAGTTCTGTTTGAAAGGAATAGCTGACACTACGGTATGTGCCGAGTCCACTCACATCAAGTTGCTTAAAATGTAGTTCCTGCAGATTAACAGCGTGACCAAAGTTTATTCCCCTCCTTTCGGAGCAGGCACATTACAAATGCACATCAAAGAAAATGAGCTCTATTCTGACTTACAGTCTAAGCATGTTCCTGACAAACCACATCTGATGAAGAGTCTTAAAGAAATGGCACAAGCAACGCTGCCGGCAGCGAAACAACAAAAGGGCTGGCCCCTTCCACCAGCGAAGGGAGGCTGGTTAATCAAAGGATTTTGTACCAGGGAGAGGAACTGTGCACTTTACATTGAAGCAGTGCAGCCGAATAATACATATGCAATGACCTAGCTAGGCAGCATTCTAACAAATCACATTTAATTACCTATCTTTTCCTCTCGTGATATTCTTCTCAGTTCAACTGCAGTCTGGGAAATCAATAACAAATGTTCATTCTGAATGCCTCTATTCTTTAGCCTTGGACTAATTATGCACATTCCTACTGTCCTTATAAGGACAGGGCAGTTCTTCACTTCAAGCAATGAAACAAAGCTTGCAAAGAAAACCACCCTGGATAGCATTCAAAACAATAGGAACACAACTAATGAAGTAAGTCAATCCGTTCCTATCGTGGTGCACAGCACCTTCAGGTAAGGATGACTGGCTGCCCCATGGGCTGCCAGCACTTTCTGTGTCTGTTAAGGTGCAGAGCACCACTGCCCTTTATTTCATGGCCAAAGCGAGCTACCCACATGGGAACCGGGATTGCTTTGTCATAGCGCTGGCTATTTGCTGTCACGGCTGGCCCAAATAACATTGCTTGCTGCATGGTTTCCTCACCTACAGCATAGGAATGAGCAAGCTTTTCTAAATCCCTATCAGCAGTGACCTGTGAGTGAAAAACACAACACATGCATTGTGATTATCAGTGTTGGGGGGGAGGGGGTCATCACACCTGAGCGTGTTAAAGTCACAGGTGCAAAACAAATATGCTCTTACATAAAGTGTGTGTGTTCCTCCAAACCACCATCGTTTGGGCACTGGGGCCTGTAATTTTTTCGGCTGGAGCAAGATGTAGCTTGTTTGTTTTTCTTACAGGGAACAAAATGTTTATACAAGTTCAGTGAAAAAGGCAAAGATTTTCACATATGCATGGGGAAAGTAGTAGTTTTTCTTTAAGGGAAAAAGAGCAAACTACAAGTTCCCCTGGTCTTGGCAAATCATGAGGCGTTTTTCATTTTGTAACATCAAAGTCGGCTCCTCTTCTTTGATGTCTTCGCATGCTGTTTAAGGTAAAGCATGAATGAAGAAATGTCAATCTGCAAGGTGTCCATGTAGTTTATGCTGAACACTGAAGAGGACTTGTAGATAAAAGGCAAACACAAGGTTTGATAATGAATGTCCAACAAGGAGGTGTGCATATCTAAAAGGAAACACTCAGCTGGAGAACAGCTCTGCAAACCTTAAAACTCTGCTTAGCCCAAGTTTAAGAGATTAAGAAAAAAGTGGATTTTTTTTTTTTTTTAAGTGTTGAACCAAGAGAGGAATTCTGTAAAAATCCTTGTTGTTTTGTAAGAAATGAGGGGTCTTTCGGTGGTTTTACTTAACAATCATAAATATGCCACCCACTGCTCTCAGTTTGTTAATGTGTAATTTTCAGAAGGTACGGCGTTAACCAGGAAAAACAACAGAGAGGAAAGTACAAAACAGCACATTATAGTTTGGAAGTTTATAGTGGTTGCTTTGTAGTGTCTTGTGTCTCAACACTCGCAGAAGTTGCATTAAATAAAGAAAAGTGTCAATAATTTAATTAAGTTCTCCCCTAAGATCCAGAGGTATCATAACCTAGTAGTGATAACTAGGTTACCTGGTAGTAGGTAACACAGTGATTGTCACTCAGGGAAGCTAAGCAGTTTGGGGATGAAGGGAGAGATACCTTCTGGACCCAAACCCCATATTTTTCAGTCCCAGAACATCTCGTGATATCACTAGAAACTTAGCTGTAGAAGGCTGTGTTACTGCTGTATCGTGCTGCTACTGGTACTGACTTTGTGTTTCTAATTCATTGTTCCTGATGCTGGTGTAAGGGCTGGCTTGCTAAACCACTGTGCACTTTGTTGGATTTACTCGCAGAGCAAGTGCACCCTGGAAAAGGAGCACCTGGGGGCTGCGATGGGAGCCGGGGCGCTGTGGCAGTCATCATCTGTGCCAAGACAGTGCTGAAGGATTTGAGTCTGAAATGTATCAATGTCTTGATATTGCCACCTCTCCACTAGGCTGAGGCTGCAAAATAGTTTTTATTGATTAACAGGGCAGAGAAACCCTGCTGGAGGTGCCTGTTGTGTTAGGTGTATCTAGCTAATGGCAAGTTCAGACATAGTCAGGCTCCCTTTGTGCGCGTTAACCTGTATGACACTGAAATGAGTCTTGCCCATTAGGATGAGAAATATTTGTTGGGAAATAGACATGACTGGATATTTGGTGTGTGATGGTTGAGGAATGGATTTCCACAGGGATCCAGGGAAACAGGAGGGTTTTTTTGTTTGTTTGTTTGACTTTTACCATCAACTTGTGGCTCTCATGTACATTAAGAAATACCTTGGAAAATTCAAGGATGGGGAAGCTTCCCTGGGGATAGTGTGCAGCTGCACTACCCTTTGGAGAGCTCTTGGAAAAATTCTTGCTGAAGACCACTGTGCACAGGTGGAGCCTCACTGAGCTCTCCCCTCCTGAAGCTCCAGGACCTTGTTTTGGGGTTTGAACAAGTTGTGGGAGCAAGAACAGAAGAATCTTGTGCAGTCGTGAGCACAGGAGCAGAATTAAAATGGTTGTGTTTGGAACAGAAAGATAGGGGTTGGTTTCTTTACTCTTGCATGAAGCTCTCCCAAAATTTGCTAATTAAATCTTGTGCTTTCAAGTTTACTTGAAGCTGCACAGTGGAAGAATATATATATATATTTTAATAATCTGACTTGTTAGGAAGAACAGGCTATCCATAACAATAGCAGCAGCTGAAGTAATGTGTCTTGTGCTAAACTGGGACACAACATCTCAGATCTTCATGGACAAGGCCTATTGTTGCCATTTAAAATTTAGGCTTAATTTGAAGTGCAATGGGATTGGGTAGTTCTAAAAAAAAAAAAGAAAACCAAAACATTTTCAAGGACTTCATTGTATTTCTGTTGCTGCGAGGGGATCCCACATACCCTCAAGCTGGCTTTACCTAGCTCCGGTTCTCGTGGCAGGGAAGCTGTTGCAGAGCAGAATTTAACACAGCCTGTAAAGCCCTGAGAATCTGAGCATACTCAGGTCATTGCTGTTGTAAAAACACTCAGCTGTACCCAGGCTGGCTGTACCCAGGATAACTTGGAAGTCTGAACACAGTCATCACACCTCTCATTGGTGTTATAGGTATTTTCTTCGCTGCAAGCCATGATAAGTTGTCGATGCACTGAATCCACTCTTCATCAACACTGTGGCTCCAGCAGATGACTGTATGGACCTTAGTATTGCATTTACAACAGTGAACTTTTAATTTAGATTATTTTGTGTGTTAAAAAAAAAAATAAAAATCCAGTTAATATAACTCTGGGCTGAAGCTGACAGCAGTTTTTCTCAAATATCTTTTCAGTCAAATTAAATCCTACTCTTCTACTGTCTTTAAACTTTGTGGTCGAGCTGTTACAAAGAGACATCCACATTTGCTTTATTTGTCTGGTAGATATCCAAATATTTGCTGGGAAATATAACTTTTGAGAAGAGAGATTAGCTTTCAAGCTCTGAGTCTTTTAAATGTCAGCTCTGTGAAAACTACTGACAGTCAGTAGGTGGAGAGTTAGTATTGTCTGACAAGGATATTCGTGGGGAGCAACTTCAAAATGCAACACAGAAGAAAAGAATTTCAGGACTCTCAAAAGACTTTGGAAGCAAGAAAGTTTTACCCCTCAGCACTTGTGCAGAAGGAACCGTGTTTGTTCTAGGAGGCTTAATCACCTCGTTTTGTTATGATCCTTTCTCAGTTCAGCTTCTCCAGACAGAGGGATTGAAATAGGACTGGCAGGGAAGGGGTGATCTTGGCATTTGTATCTTGAAAAGACAGAAGAACCACTAGATTAATTTGTTCAAGCTGTATTCTCTCTCTGTCTCTCTCAGGCTGTGGGACTGCAGTATTCTTCAATGGGGCACCACACTGCATCTGCTTCCGGTACTGATGATGATGATTTGTTGTATCATTTGTATTGTAGTTGGGCCTAAAAGCCCTATTCAGCCTCACTCGTGTGAGGACAGATCCATTACAGAATCACGGTCCTGTCGTGCTCCAGCTCTGAAGTTCAGGGCTGCCTTTTGCCAGTACCTTGTCACAGGGAGTCAGGTGTCTCTGCAATGAGGAGAAAGGGGGACTCTCAAAAGGGTCTTTCTTAAATTTTCTGATACATATGAGATGCTGAACACTAGAAAGTATGTGGCATGCAATGCCTCAACGTTTCCACCCCCCACTGTTTTCCATCATTTTAATCTAATCCCTTTATAGCAATTTTAATTTTTTAGCCTTAAGAGCTTTGATCTGTAGTGTCCCTCCCCCAGATAATAGCACTGGTTTTGTTCCGTCCCTCCTCCCGTTCTTTTTGTCTGCCTCACACCCTCCTGTCTTTCTGCCTCCTTCCTTGTTTAGCACAGCCTCATGCCTTGCTCTGTGTGTGCTCAAAAACTCCTGTTAGCTGAGCGCCCAAGCGCTGTCCCCTTTGCCAGCTCCTTGAGAACCTGCCACAACCTCCAGTGCAACCAGCTCCCGTGGAGCACTTTGAAGTGAGCCAGCTCCTGCTATATGTGCTGTACACCTCCTCCAAATGGTTTGCTGCCCTGCTCGTGCTGTAAGGCTCCATGGGCCTACCTCTCTCCTCTATGGTGCTGAAAAATCTGGCAGAGCTTAACAAGCAATGACTGGTCCCAATAAGAAGAGTCTTCAAAGTGTGACATTTGTATGCAGAAAGACACAGGGACATTTATGCTGTACCAGCTGCATACATAGCATCCACCAAAGCAGGTGGATGTTGCAGTGCAGGTACGGCTTACTGCAATGCCAGAGGAGTCCCGCACGTTGTTACTAGAGTAGCACTTTGGGGTCCTAACCCGGGCTGTGCTGTGATGCCTGTTTTACTGGCACTGTACGAATGTCTCATGCCAATCACTGTCATTAAGAGATCACAAGCTAAGCAGACAAGGTAAGTGCAGAGGGCAATGGATATGGGAAGAATTTCCAGAGCCCCACAGCCTGTCAGAGGCAGAGCTGGGACTCCAGCTCAAGGCTTTTAGTACTAATGGAGTCTCTTAGTCCTTGCTGCTGTTGACCAAAAATTGGCTGGTTTATTTATTTATCCTGTGAGCAGCCTCAGGACCTCCCAGTCCTCAGCCCCTTCTGTAAGCAATGGGACCACTAGGAGCCAGGCACCTTAATCTGTTAAAGGACTTTGTGTGCTAGTTCTGGAGATCTGTGGCAGAGGGGAAAAAAAAAACCAAAACCACAGTCTTCAAGAGGGGCTGTTTTGGGGCAGCAGGGAAGGCACAAGGCTCTGGGTTTATATCGTATGGCTAGATGGAGCTGCAAAATTTTGACAACGTTTGCACCACTAAATGGACCGAACCCAGTGAATGTCAGGGATTGTGCTACTCCATCTGGGTGCCTGTGTTAGAGCTTACTTCATTGGGATGTAAGTGAAATACAAAATGAGCTCCAGAGGGAATCCAAAGGTCAGCGAGCTCATTGAGAGGTGTGCTGTGCTGGGCATGGAGCTTCTGGAAGGGGAAATCCTGCCCCTAACCCACTGCAGTTCAACGAGGTGTCCATACGCATGTGGATAAAGGAGATCCAGTGGACATCAAGGCTGGGATTTTCAAAAAGCTCTTTACAAGGTTCCACATGAAAGATTGTTGAAGGAAGTGAGTTGCCATGAAATTGGCGGACAGATTATTTTAAGGTCTGAAAACTGGTTGAAAGACAGGAAGTAAAGGGCTGGAATTAAAGATTACATCTCTATTGCTGGAGACAGAAAACTGGCCTAGGTGCACCACAGGCCTAATCCAGCATTTCTTACATTCTTGAAGCAGCTGCAATCTTTTCCAGAATAATTTTATACAGGGGCCAAGTGAATGTCTTCCACAGTGCCTAGAAGCAACTGGGAGCATGCTGCTCTCTGTGTTCACTCAGGAGCGATTTGCAAAGGAGAGGTACCTACATTATGCAGGACCAGGAGGAGTCAACTGTGGGCCAGGCCTTGTTAGCCTGATTTAGAAA